CATTATATTTGTCAATACTCTTGACTTAGATGAAGATCAGATCACATTTTATGACAAAATAATGGAGAAAACCATGAAATTCCAAAAGGTTCACATACTTTTTCTTGCCACTGTATAGCCTTTGCTAGGTGGTAGACAGACATATGAACTGATTCATGAAAATAGTGGGCAGAGAAGCTGGAATAACAACAGAAGTGTTATAGTCACCCTAATATCATGGAAGGGAGTAGTACAGCTGAGACACACCACATCCTGTCACATATCATATGTTCAAGATAAAACATACCTGAAGAGTTTCTCCTTATCAAACACTGTGTCAGCAGACATGTTGACAGGAATAAGCAGATCAGGATGAGAATCCAAATGAACCATCTTTATGTTCTGCATTGGGAGGTGTCTTGATGCAATGGCACGGTAGATGTGACAAACCACCTAGTCGAGGTACAGTAAGTAAAGTTATTTGATCCACTATTATGATATGGCAAAACTGTTTTGAAGAAACAAATTTTTAAGCTAACTGGTCTCCATTTATCGCAAGTACAGAAGCTTCTATGAACATTATTAACATTTTCAGGACACCAAAATTTACTGTCAATCGGGAAACCATAAACTTAGCAATGAATAAAATCATATAAAAGAAAAATATTGCTTTATGCCGACTATTGACGCAGCATTAATTACCATGCTACTAGCATAGCAATAACAGAAAAGGGAATAAGAAACGGTACAACATCAAAGCTGTTTTTGGCACTATCAAGGCCTCCACACCATTTTAAAAGTGTCTGATATTTGCAAAAATGCTTATTACTCTGCTCTCTCCACTAGGACATCAACTATTAATATGATTCATTAATATGTTTTCATTCATGTAATAGTACTGTGCCTTCATTAATACAATTGTCTTTTTGATAATTTCTCAGTAACAAGTACTGAAAGGTTTCCAAAGCAGAATGTGCAAAGAAATTCTGTTTTCTAACACAAAACACAAAGAAACACAGTAGACATTTAACAAGTAATAGCAGCAAAAGCACAGCCATGATTAATAACATTAATAACATTTCAGCAGTATACACCAGCTTGTGTATATTGGACCAATAGTATGTAATAGTGCTATCAATGTTATTAATTACAGCTATTTCTGTCATGACAAATCAAAAAGTTCTATTACTGCTGTATGAGCAATGCATCGACCAAGACAGAAGAAGTAAGTACTTCAGTCAGTACTGAAGCTGTAGCTTGCTAAAAGGCTGCTGATTGGCTGAAGAGCTAGGTGGCGGGGTTTGTTTACAACACCACCAAGGTAACAAGTCTGTCACTGTCATGAACTCATCTACAAGCTAAAGCACCCACACTTTGAGTTGTGTTTCAGTAATAAGGTAAGGAACATATTCCAAAGGTTAGCTAGGTAAGCAAATACACCTATCGATGAAATGCACGCTGTCGTAGTGTTGTTAATCATAAGTGGAAATTTTGAGAGACAACGTTACATTATATTATACACCGCAGCTGTACTAACACAGAACAAAAGCGAGGCTTACATCGTGGTGGTCCTCCACAATCCACACTGGCAGCTCCTTGTAGAACCTCTTCAGCGATAACGTTACGGAACTCATTTTAACAAAACGGAACTTAAGTTTACTTCATTACTCCACTATAAACCTGGCATTAGCTAATTAATTGTAACTAATTAATTAATTGTCGTGTTCTCATACCTCCATTTTGAGCATACAATGTAATAACGCCTCTTAACAGTTTGTTTAATAGCTACACAGCTACTCCTAGCACAACCTGCAACACCCATTTACCCTGCAGTCTTCTTCTTCGTTTTAAGTACAACCGGGCGGCGCATTATCCCCATCTACTGTTAGGTTAGGGAATCATTATATTCGTGAACTCGCTTTTGTATCTTCAAGACAGTGTAGGTGAAGATAAGTTTTAAAACAGAATTCCCAGTATTGTGTTTTAAGCTCCATGTGTTAATCCCTTTATGTTCCAGGCTTATTCCTTAACAATAGTTTATGCCAGTTTGATTGTTGATTCGGGGGCACTGCTAGAGATTTTGGGTCATATTTTCATTATTAAATTTTTGTAAAAAAAAAAAAAAAAATATTTGGTCTCTAATTTAAATCTATTATTGATCTGGAAGTAAGAGACAAAGCTTAAAAGGTCTTTCATACAATAGTCCTATCATATTATTGTCTCTATGTTAAAGTTGGGACTACAAATCTACAGTATCTACAGTATCTAGCCTACAATAACCCAATCAAGTTTATAAAGGTAATTTCTTCTTAGTTAATTTTAGCAGTGTAACTGGTGTGCTAACCTCCAGTACATGTAACTAGACTGTAACACATCTTTAATTTATGAGAATTAACTATGGTATAGCTGTAGGAATTCATTCTGAAAGGCACCACCTCATACATGAAATGATGCCTTTATGATATCCATTAACCACCCTTTCTTTGGTTGAAGTTGTCAGGCATTAAATCAAGGTTCAAGGATTCAAATCATTCAAGCCCTCCGCTATTCATGCCAAAATGTTTTCATTTTTAACCAACGCTTGACATCACTTTCGGTGCTCTGAGGTGTGATATCAAAATTACATTAGCTCATTAGAAAAATAAATACAGACAATGATTTTTTTTTAAAGAAAAAAACAAAACCATGCCTCAAATTATAATAAAAAATCTTATAAGAAAAAAGTATCAAATAATTAAAATTAAAATTAAAAATGGGTGGTCTTGTATTTCAAAATGTGCCACTGCTACTTTTAAAATAAGGTTGACTAAAACCATCCCAGTGCTTGCAGAAAGACTGCACCACTGTTAATACTTGACATAAAAAGGACAGAACATGTTACTCTGCAGCCCAGTCTCACATGAAAATGTACAATAGCTACACTGGTCTACAGCATAAAGCATAGTAGTGTCACAGTAAAAACTGTAAAATTGTGACATGGCAACAGTTTTTGTATGGCAGCGCAGTTCCCTTTTTCTTGCTGTTTTATGGCAGTTGGCAAACAATGAAATGGTGCATTATCACCAGCAACTGGGCCAGAGTGTGGAACAGTGTCCATTGAAGGCATCCAGATTTGAAGTATAGAATGCTAAAAACACTAGGAAGCTGGTGGCTGGGTCCAACATACACCTGACTTTCACACAAACAACCAGAAATCAAGTCCCACGTGTGATGTTGTGCAACACTGTACTTTTCATTTGAGAGTGAATGGTTAGTTACTGGCTAAAAGCCAGGGCTAAAGCCATTAGCCAGAGGTCCCCAGCTATGGTTCAGGGCCAAAACTCTGGGCGGGTAACACCATATTCAAGAAAGTTACAACTAAAAGAAGTTGGATGCTGCAAGAAGTAAAACCAGAATCAACATTGGTGTGGCTTTTGAACAATGGCAACAACTGAGAGAACAAAAGGGGCTGAAAAGTATTTCTGTTGGATAAGTAATTACTGTTTTGTTTTGTTTGGGGGGCATTTGTTATTTTCCTGAAATCTGCAATTAGTAGCCAGGCAGTGCATGTTGCAGTGCGCATTGTGTTTTGGATGTTCTAAGACTACAAGTATAACCGTGAATCTATAGTACTGTGCCTTCTACTGAAACCATTATGACAAAGTGATTTAAGACTTTTTTTTCTGTGTAGTATAGTTATCTTTCTGTAATCATTTGTTCCAAGGTCTTGCAAATATCTAGTGTCAGAGCTGCAAGCCTATAATTATCTGGGTTGGTTGTTTAATTGGAGTAACAGCTTCTTTCCACACTGCTGGCAGCTCCCCTTCCTCCCAGTGCCTAATGAACAACTCCAATAACTTTGCCAATGTAAAAATCACTTAAATTGGATAATATAATATAACATGCACTATCGTTTCCAGGAGCAGTTATTTTACACTTATTTTGAACCCTTCTTAACTAAAGAATGATCAACCTGCATTCAGCCAGCTAGCATGAATACATGTCAGACCAAGCAGAAATGACACCAAGAACTGTTTGGTGTCTGAATAGAAACAGTGTCTTACTATGTTAAACAGGTGAAACTTGTTAAGCTTTATATAAGACAAACTGTTTACTGTTCACTAAAGATACAAACTGAAAATGAATCATGAAATATGAAATAATATATTACAATTAGATACATGTTATCAGCTTTCAATAATTAGGCCAGATTCGATAACTTTGCAGAATTACAATTATTGTTACCCATTATTACATATATTAGTTATAAAGTGAATGAACTTAGTGCAGAAATATTTTTCATTACAATACAGTACTTATAATGACTATGTGGGGTGTGGAAGGTGAAACTTGTAGTGCCACAAAGAATTATCATCGAGTCTACATTCCCAGCCCCACAGAGTTTTTTTTTTGTGTCTTTTAGCCAATTGCTTTATTTTTATGGCCTGAAAATATACTGTTTTAGTCCAACCTAATTTCCAGAAGCTGCAGGTAACTGTTTGTATTAAAAGAATTTACAGTAAATATTTTTCTCAGGAGTTGATGACACAAACTTCATTCCAAATGAATGTTAGCATTACTCTTTGTCTGCTAGATGCGTAAATAGAAAGCTGTTTGCTAACATGTTAGCTATATACAGTGTCTTTAGAACAAAAATGTCAGTGTGGTGCTTACAGTTTGTTCCTCTGCACAAAAGTGGCAGTAAAAATTACTTATTGCTCTAAAATGACATGTGACATAAATGGAACTAGCAGGTTATAAAGTTGGTTACTAAGGCTAAAAGTGACTGAGAACTGCTAAACACCACCCTCATGACACAGATGTACCTTGGAATGGATTTGACAATGAGCAGGACAGGCACTCCGCTGGAAGCAACAGTGTCAAAGGTAGAAGAAAGACAACTGCAGATTTGCTGCTGTGACTTCCAACAAAAGCCTTAGAATACATAAGGGAAAGAAAAGGTGCTTGGAGGCAGGTGAAGAATGCAATGGCCAGGGACCCTGTACTAAACAGTACTTCTTAAGAAGTCATTCAGGTTAGTCAGGTGAAATCCAGCAACGGGTGAGCAACCACTATGTTCAAGATATCAGCATCCCTAACAAGGAGGAGGAAGCAGAAGGTAGCACTGAACAGGCAGCCAAACAAACAGAAAGGTTTAAAGCAGAAACCCAAAACAAATTGGCCTAGAGCTGGAGAGAAGGGCATATGGACAACAGTTAATTCAGATCTGTTAGATGCTCTCCAAGCACTGAAAGGGACAGTCGAGAAAAGGCAACAATAAACCATTCTATGATGTTGTAGAATGTTATGCAGTGAGTTTCCCCAGCCCTTTTGTAACCATGAATGATGTGCACTGTGCTCCAATTGGCTGTTAGCCCCACCTGATGAACTCTATCTCCACCAATCCTAGTTTCACCAGTTTAAAAGCTCCAGGATCTCAGATAGAGTCTGGGCTGTGTAGCGTGAGCAGCCTCGTGTTTTGTTTGTAGTGATACTTTGTTCAGTTCTGTGACTTATGCATTTCGTTTCTTATGGTTTATTTATTGCTTTATTTAGCTATCACACAAATCAGTGGAGGTTTGTACTTCTCCATAGCTTTGGAGGAATTAACTCTTACTTCTTGTGATGGCTGCCTTGGTTCTGTACCGGAAACAAATTCCATGTGTGTGTAACATACTTGGCAAAATAAAGGTGATTATTGATTATTATTATTGATTGTTCTTCTTGAGTTTGTAACAGAGCCTGCTCAGCCTCCCAGTTTATTATATATCATCTTTTAATGCTAACCCAGTCTTTTGTAACCAGCCTATATGCCTACACCCATTTATCAAATAAATGGTTGTTTATTATACAACTTTGGAGTTTTTAGTGTCCCCCCACTTTCATCCCTAGATTCATATCTCATATATTTATATATGTATATGTATATATGTAACAAAAGGATCAGCTAAATAAAGCCTGTGGGAGGATTTTTAAAAATTGCTGTAGAGCCCTAGTACATTAGCACCAGTTCTCCTGAACAATCCTTTGTTGCAATTTGTCATCTATTTTTCTCTTTAGTCCACGTCCACGGAGATTAGCTACAGTGGGCTGTAAACTTCTTGACAATGTTGTGCACAGTGGACACAGGAATAACCAGATCTCTGGAGATGGACTTGGAGCCTTGAGACTGTCCAGGCTTTTCCACTATTGCGGTTCTTAAATCCTCACACTTCTTTGCTTGTCTTTCTTTTCTCCATGCTCAGTGTGGCCCACACAACACAAAGGTTGAGTCAGCTTTTCTCCATTTTAACTGGTTGCAAGTGTGATTTTCTGTTGCCAGCACCTGTTGGTTGCTACAGGTGAGTTTCAATACAAATTAAAGGAGCATCACAGGCTTGAAATACAATTGTTTCTGATGATTTTGAAAAGGCCTCAATAATTATGTCCATTCCATTATTGGAGTTCTGTGTGAAATGTGTCAGATTTGGCTTTTTTCTCTGCTTTGTTAAGTTATTCCAATGGAAACAAAAGAAATAAACATGAGAATACCAAAAACTTTGTGATTGCAACAATTTTCTGAGAGAAGTGGTGTGTTATCTGACAGAAATGCAGGGGAGCCAATATTTTTGATCCTTTCCTGTACATGCATTAAATGGGTGTAAAAGTTCAGTCAAGGTTAGGATGCTGATGCTTCTGCTGTGTCTGCCCAGGCCATTGGTTTAACTCAGTAGACCTGAAGGATGTATATTTTCAAATTCCTCCCATCGTTAGTAGGGAAAAACAAGGCCACACACACACAAATGGAAAATTCAACTTTTGAATACATGATCTTCTTCATCATCTTATACCAACTTTATTTG